TTCCTGCTGTAGTAAATTGCCTTGCCACTGTCCGCTCCCTCCCTCTGAGCAATGCCTTCCCCCCAGCTAAACCGCAAGCAAGCAGTGAAAGCCTCAGAGGAAACGCATCCCAACTTCTGCCATACCCAGTTGTGTCATGGGTTGCAGATGCCCCCACAAGCCAGACTACTTGTACATTTGCTGCCTTAGAAAAGCAGAGGTTTTACGATCTGTCAGCTTTCCTTTCAGCAACAGACAAATTCAAATGAAAACAAGTGTTATTCTAGCAAAACAAAAAGACTGTATCAACCATTGCAAAACCACATAAATACAGTTAAAATTAAACTTTATTCCATATGTATTTGAGTTAAATAATTTCATACAAGCCTAATACCCATTGAAACACCATTTCATAGTTTTTCTTTTTGTTCAGAAATTTTGGAGGTATCTTACGATATCTCCCGTACCTTGCCAGGAGGATGTGATCTTTCAGAATGTACACACCTCTGACTTCTACCTTACACCTCAAGGCTGCAGATGTGTCTATCAAAACAGGACTTAACTCCATCTTCCATAAAACCATGTTCCACCTGGACTCTGTATACCACTCCTTACTGATGAATTTACCTTGGGCTTCTGTTGTGATGTCGCCTCACCATCCCAGCAAAACAAATCAGTAGCACAAACAACTAACTTGAAAGACAAATAATGCCGGGGTTTAACCTTTTCTGTTGTTGTTTTTTTGTTTCCTATGTTTAGGAATCTTTCAAGGAGTATAAAAGAGTCCTGAGACAGTAAAGTCTTGTGAGATGCAAAACCAGAGCTCTCAAGTAAGCAAAATGGTGGCAATTGTTTAAATGGCTGGGAAGCGAGTGCGCGTCAGAATTCACAATAATACAGTCTGCAAATTCAGTAATAGAAGTAGACAATTTCTAACACATAAAAATTATAATTTGTTAACTGGATTTAACTGCAGGCCACATTCACCAGTGTCTTCAAGCTACACTTAACAGGTTGAACAAAGCTAAAAGATTCCAAATGTGTTGTTTGATGAAATGGAATTAAAAAGAAGCTTGGGAAGTACCTTGTTTGAAGAAGTTTCCAAATAGGGATTTGAAATTCTTCTGGACAGCGTCTGTAAGACAATTTGGTAGACCTTTAATTTTGTTCTTGTTTTTGTACAGAAAAAAAAGTAGCAGCAATCTAGGTCTTTTAGCTATTGAAATCTAAATAAAAAGGATTTATCAAATCATCTGAGTAGTCTAACTGAAGTCTCCAAATAATTTTTTTTTCCACATCAGGAAAAAGTTTTGGTAAGCTCAGTTCTGTGTTGTTTACTACATTCATTCTTGATCTGGAAAAGAAGGTGAGCAATGAGGTGGCAAAGTCTGTAGACAACACACAATTATTTGGGTCAGGAAAGACCAGAAATGACAACGAAGAATTTCAAGATAAACCTAAAAAAAGCTAGGTGAAAAGACAATATCATGATCAGCTCAACATTAAAAGCAGCATGTACTAGAGGAAGAAAATGTAATTACACATGCTCTAACATCACTTAAAGCAAACTTTATCAATTCTGTAAAGACACCTCAGGGTCACAGAACACTTCTCAAGGAAGACCACTCTTCTAAATAAAATTCTTAACTGTAATTTTAAAAAAAAAAAATTACGATAAATAGGAAGCAAATGGTGACCAGTGGGGAGGTAGCATTGCTCTAACGTAGATCAGCATTATCTCTGCTGCGCCACATGCTGCACTGGTAACAGCATCGCAAAAAATGGATGCTGTAATGTTAGAGGGGATTCAGACAATAATAGTAGCAGGAATAATAAAGGATTTGGATAAATTTTAATATGAGAAGAGATAGAAAAGACTGTGACTCTTTACCTTACAAAAGAGAGATTACAGGAGACATAATGCAATTATACAGAATAATGAAATAGCACAGAGAAAAGATGGACTTTCTGTGCTCTGTTTCACATAACATGAGAATAACCCATCACTCAATGAAATTGGAGAGGATTCATGTTTGAGGAGATAGAAAAGAAAATGACACATAACTCTTCACAGCAGGGAAGTGCAAATGCCAAAACCTTACTGCTGATCTACAAAGGTTGGGGATTTAAAGTTATAAAATTAACAGTGAAGCAGAACTCTGGCAGGCAAACAGAGACAGGATAAACATCTCTATGAGAGTCAGGTCACCCCACCTTTACTCACCATGATACTTCATATCTTGTCAGTGTTAAAAACCAAGACATTGTCTACTGTGACGCTTACTGGCAACTTCTAACTAACTACAAGCCACACAAGACACAAATAAACATTGCCTAAAAGAAGTCTGGAAGTGGAACAGAAGATGTGGTGCAGGTGCACTGGCAGCACAATGGGAGGATTGTGTGGCGCTCCCTCACATTATTCCAACTTGTAGGCAACATAATTAATTCCTTGCTTTGAGAAGGATCCAATTCACACTTGGCATATTGTAGTAATAATAACAATAAAAAAATCATCCTTCACACCTTGTGAGAATTACAGTATCCATACTTCAGTAATGTCACCTGCTTTTTTCCATCTATATTCTTGTTACTGTATTTTTAGAAAGGGAAAGGAAGTGACAAGGAACCACAGAAGCATTTAATGCTGTTTACCTTTCCATGCTCATCACAAATGTTAGCATACTTCCATGCATTACAGTAGCTCCATATGGAAATACCATAACATAAAAGCTTAATTCCCCTTCCTCGTACCCAACAAAGATGCCGTAAGAGTGCAATATTGCCTCAGATCCCGTTTATTCTTCCTAGCCGGCACGTCATTAACACCTCGGTTCTGCAGCAGCCCTACAAACCACCACTTCACTTGGTTTCTGTCCAAGTCTTTCATTCAACAAGCCTCACTCACTGCAGCAGCGCGGTCAAAGCTTATACATCGATTTCCCCACTCCATTCCCAGGCTGGCACTAACAATGTTATCATCCACAAGCGATGCCAGTGGGAACTACAGCCCCTGGCATTGCACTGGCCCTGTCCCTCGCAATCAGATGATGGCTGAGCCTCAGCCAGGGAAAATAGTGCTACTGCAGGGTGCAGTTACACAACAGCATAAGACCAAACTCAGCAAAAAGGACAAATTTGGTGGCCGCTTACGACGGGGTTACAGATTGATGGATAAGGGGGAAGTGACTGACATCATCTATGTGGACTTGTGCAAAGCATTTCATGCTGTCTCACACACATACTTGTCTCTCAAATGGAGACACACAGATTTGAAGGATGGACCACTTGGCGGATAAGGAATTGGCTGGATGGCTGCACTCAAAGAGTTGCGGTCAACTCGGTCGAGGTCCAAATGGAGAGCAGTGATGAGTGGTGTCCCTCAGGGGTTCACGACCAGTATTATTTAACATCTTTGTCAGAGACACAGACAGTGGGATTGAGCACACCCTCAGCAAGTTTGCAGATGACACCAAGCTGAGTGGTGTGATTGATACTCCAGAGGGAAGGGATGCAATCCAGAGGGATCTGGACAGGCTTGAGAAGTGGGTCCATGCAAACCTCATGAAGTTCAACAAGGCCAAGTGTAAGGTCCTGCACCCGGGTCGGAGCAATCCCAAACATGGATACAGGGCTGGTCAATAAATGGGTTGAGAGCAGTCCTGTGGAGAAAGACTTGGGGGTATTGGTGGATGACAAACTGAATATAAGCTGGCAATGTGCGCTCACAGGCCAGAAAGCCAACCATATCCTGGGCTGCATCCAAAGCAGCATGACCAGCAGGTTGAGGTAGGGGGTTCCACCCCTCTGCCAGCTCTGGGGTCCTCAGCACAAGAAGGACATGGACCTGTTGGAGCGAGTCCAGAGGAGGCCACGAAGATGATCAGAGGGCTGGAGCACCTCTCCTATGAGGACAGGCTGAGAGAGTTGGGGTTGTTCAACCTGGAGAAGAGAAGGCTCCGAGGAGACCTTAGAGCAGCCTTCCAGTACCTAAAGGGGCCTACAGGACAGCTGGGGAGGGACTTTCTACAAGGGCATGGAGTGACAGGCCAAGGGGAAATGGCTTTAAACTGGAAGAGGGAAGATTTAGATTAGATATTAGGAAGAAATTCCAAGTCTGCAAAAGGTGACTGAGGCTGAAAACTAATAGAGAAAAAAAAAAAATAATCTTCTAGTTTATCCTTCAAACCACACGGTGTTAGCTCTAGTGCAGGGGAGAGAGAAGGAATTCACAGCCCTGAAATGGGAGAAGGGAAGACAGGACAATGACTTCTGCCAGTGGCAGCCTGAACCCAGATCAGCTTGGAGCAAGCATGAAACATTGGTGAGCCCAGGAGAATACATTTAGCCTGCCATGAAGGAATCTACACACACAAAATTTCTACAAATATAAGAAAATGGAAACTGCATAGGAGAGAATAAAACAAAAGTGGAAGTGGCATTCTGGAATAGAAAAAATGATCTTTCCTGTTGATGCTAGTGCAGCCTGTGTAACATTGAAATGCTCACTGCAGTTAGGCTGAAATTCATATCTAATTTGCCTCAATAAATATTTAGGTAGCACAAAATCCCTTCATTTTGTGCTGCTGAGCACATCTGCCTCTGTTCAGCAGACTCTGCTTTGGCTGTTGGGGACAAACGGGGCAGTCCCCTTCCAAAGAAAGGAAGAAGAGGGAGTGGATACGAGGTCCAGGCTTTGTTGAAAATCCCAACCTTTTGGCTGCTGTGTTGGGGTACAAATTTACCAAATTTTACCCTGAAGGTGTTTGGTAAATATAGGCTGCTTCTCCTAAATGATTTCGACACACACACAAAAATTCAAAATACCTTTGGAAATAACTCTTAGAATGAGCCAAAATATGCTTTTAAAGCAAATTCATTAGTCATCAAGTATCAAGCAAATACCACATCTATCCTGAAAACTACCTTGGAGCAGCTACTGCTGCCCATGCCAAGTGCTGCTTTCCAGACACTGCCACCCCAGTGTCCCCCTGTGCCTTTTCACCAGCTTGAGGAGAAGCTTGGCCAAACCACCTGTCAGGGAGGAGATGGGGCTGTAGTAGCATGTATCGTCCTGGGACAGGAGAACACACGTGGAGTAAATCCAGAGCACTGGATGTCCTCCAGGAGGACTCTCCCATTGTACATGAGTAGGTGTGCATAGGTGGCTTCAACATCCCTGCTGGGGATGCAAGAAGAAAGAGGCAGGGAGCTGGCGCCTTGGGCTGGGCGATCAGGAGCGTGAAGTATGAACGTGGCACAGGGATGGCATCCAAACTTGGAGGCACAACTTGTATGTGACAGGAGAGGCCAGTTGGGACAGGTAGCCCAGAAGGTGGTTTTGGAATAGGACTGCTAGGATCCAAATCTGAATACACCACAGACAATTTAGCCTGAAATCAGGAAAATTTATAAAGGAGTTTACTGTGGTATTTAAAACCACTAGAAACACAAGGAGTATAGCAATGGTGTTAAAAGAATGGGAGGATTAGAATAAAGTGACCAGCAAGTAATTTAAAATAACCAGAAGGAAATACTTCTTTACAATCCATATGACCAGCTCATGGAATTGTTAGCAAAGAATCAAATACTCCAGCCAGATTTTTAAAAGCAGTAGCTAATTCAATGACTGACACTACTATGCAAGGTCTATATCGGAGTTTAAATTAGTATTGCTTCAACTGGACACTTATTTTTCAACAAGGTGAGAATCTCTGCTATTATTTAAAGCTAAGCATGCAAAGATATTGATGATAATATTTTAATATATGAGCACAAATTGATTTTTTAAAGGTTTGGAAAGAAATTCCCCCATGACACACTACACAACAAGCAAAGTGTACTAACGAAGGCACATTTTGGTCTCCATTGGAAAGATCAAGCTGTATCTTACTGTAAGATGCTGGCTTAATTCTTTACTCAGCAGAGTATTGACCTGGCTCCACTATAGCAACGTCCTATGCATTTACTACAATTTGGGTAATGTTCTAATCAAGGCTAAAGATACTGTAGAGCATGTTTTCAGCCATAGCTTTTGGACATACATTTGAATTTTCTCCTCGTTTTTAGATCTGGAATTTTGCTTTGGCCTCATCTCAACTTCAGAGGATGACTTGCCTACAAGTTGCTT